AGTGGTGATGACCACAACGCCAAAGGAAACCAGCTTCTATTTTGCCCCAAAGATATCATTCGTTTCATTATTCACTTGGACTTTCATCGAGGCATAACAAAATCACGCTTTCTCCCCTTTCCTGTTTTCCACATTCCATCCCTCCACTCCGGTTTGGGGGATGAGACAAATTTCCAATGCATGAGGGACAATTTCGGATATTTTATTTTAAATCGTGTTACCTGTGAGGATTGCATCTACTTCTGTGATAACCATTTGAAACAAACCATCATTTGCTTGAGATGCTATGACCATAATGTCTTTATTACAATTAACGCATAACAAAGGAACAACGATTTTGGGGATATCCTTGTTATCTCGCCCTAGCGTAGTATGAGGTTCTGCCTCCTTCATAAACATCATGGTGGTTTGCCTTCCTTTTCCTTGAATCTCTGTTTGTTAAAAATTCCCTTCTTGATTTTGAATCAAAGGTATGGATTTTTTCATCGCTCATTGTGTTCTCAATCTCTTGAACAGTGATTGTTTACTACCCTTACCTTTGCTTTTGTTGATGACAACTTCTACTGCCATAACCAAAGCATTATGCCTCAATTCTCCAACATCCCCGCTTTCCCCTTCTAGGTGGGAGTCTGTTCCGCATCTCTTCCGAATCCAAACGATCCTTCTCTGCACGAGGGGAAGTATCTTCTTCAAGTTTTGACCCTTTGTCGGAATCAAGATCGTGCATCGGTTCCGATTTCTGTTTTTCTTAAGAAAGAGTCAAAGAATGATGATTGACGCCAGAGTCAGCCAAAACCATGAGGGTTTCATTTCGTACCGTTTGAACTTGGCTTCGCAACATCTTTCTTCTCAACGACACTCAAGCCTCCAGATCCATGACGAGACCGAGACCTAAATCTAAATCTTGACCTTCCTCCCGTGACAGGAGGGCCTTGTTGGCCTTTCAACGTGATATTGTTCATCTGATTGGTTGTTTGTCTTTGCCCTGTGTACCGCCGTGAGGGGAGGTTTTTCCCCTGTCGGAACAAAGCCCGAGAATAATGGATTAGGTGAGAATATATTTTGCCTCATTTGGGCTATAAGGGGATCTGGATCTTCATACACCAGGCAAAATTCATTCTTTTCGGTGTGGTAGTTTATGCAATGCACAAACACCACGACGTTGCCGCCGAGATGACTTCGAAGTAGTATACGCCCTACCTTGGAATGCCCACCAACAGCCAGGGTTTGACTGCCCTATGAGCTTTGAATTCCAAGTCAAAGTGTATAGTACCAAGTTTCAATTCGTATTCATACTCTTCAAGTGGATGCACCATCAATACCACACCAAAGGTTTTTTCCACAGTCGTTTGGAGGACCGCGAGGAGTTTAAGGGGTACACAGGGGCATCTAAACCAACAAAACTTGGATTCGGCCTCCTTGTACATCTTCATGTCCGCCAATGTCATCCATGGAAGAAACATGATTTTCTACGTTTTGTCTTTGAGATCCACACAGTCTTTTTTTTTTTTTGTATTAATATACTATTAACCACTCAATTATGAGGCTTGTGAACACACAAAGGAGGCAAGGTTTTTGCCTTTATTTTGATAACGACCACGTCTACTTAGGTAAAAGACCAGCCCTGTATCATACAAAGAATCCTCGTAGATTCTTACAATTTTTTTCTTGCAATAAATCAACAGGACCGACGCTCTTGCCTGCAACAAATTGTAATCGCATGTTCTCATAACCACGTTAGGTTCAACTCCGGAAAACTCTCATTTAAGTCAGACCGCACAAAATCTTCCCCTAATTTGGCAACACCAATATCCAATCCAGAAGGCAAAACCCCATCTCTATAACATGCCTCCAACATAGAACGTATCTGTTTCTTTTCCTCTTTGGTATACTCTCTAGTCCGAGTCAACATATTTGGTTGCGAAGCTTCCCCCGCCATGAGAGGGAGGAGAGCCCTTGCGGTAATATATTTAATTTAGAGGCCTCTATCAATGAATAGTCAAATAACCACAATTCACACAAAAGCAAACGAGTTGAAACAATTATACCTCCAATTCACCGAACGTTGACTAGTTACCATGCGTCTCCATGTTACTGTTGCCAAAGTGTCTTCCACTGGGGGGCATTCCCTTCAAATCACTGAGCATTAACTTGTAGCAGTGCGTCTTCATGTCACTATTATCGAAGCGTCTTCACCAGAGGGGCATAGGTCGTCCTGGGCTGCTCACGAGTAGGTTCACCTAGGTAGAAAGGTTGCTCTATATGAAAGCAGTGTACCAAACCCTAGCCACCATAGCTCAGCTACGGCGGTCGAGCGACAGCTATGGTTACCTCGAAATTACCGAGAGTGATGCGTCGGTACCGAGGTGACGTGTGCAGGGATAGCGCGCCCGGTAGGCCGCCCAAATCCGGCCTGATGTTCCTGGATGCATTTTTTTGCAAAGCGGCAAGCTTGTACTCTCGCCAGATGCAGCATTCCATAAAAATGATTGGAAGAAGGATCCGTGGTTGTAGGAAGTGTCGAGAGTCACTGTTAGGCTGGGAGGGGTGTCCTGGCTTATTGCTGGTGGCTGCAACTGCTGTCCGATTTTATCTGAGGTAGGGCCAACAATGGCCCCGGAGATGGAGAAGCGGGGGTTACGCTAAGGAAAGAAGAACGTTGAGGTAGGAAGGGGCAGGTCCTGTGAGCACACATATAAATAATAAAATAAACAGAGAGTCACTGTTAGGGCATACTCAGACTGCGACCCCAAATCCAGAAAATATGCAGATTTGGGAAGGGCCGATTTGGGATTTTAGGTACACTAGTGGTCACACTCCTTTACAATTACTAATAGGACAAGGTCCTGGCCTTGTGGAGAAATGGGGATTTGGGGCTTCAGCGGTCACATAGAGCAGCTGTAATTTCTGTCAATCTTGCTGGGAACTTTGTTGAACGAATTTTGCCAAATTTTGAAGAAATTTTGAAAAAAAAAAAAAGCATTTGCGATCACCTCCAGAGGTGACCACAAAATCCCTTGCCCCGCGGCTTCCCAGGCGCTGACAAATGGGCATATGAATAGCGCATTAGCGGGTTTGGGAAATCAGTGTGACTGCGAGTCTACCCTTTGTTTTGGGAATTGGGGATTTTAGGTCCTAGTGCGAGTATTAGGGCATACTTGCACTGGAACCTATAATCCCAAATCCCCCCCCCAAAAGGGTAGAGGGCCTGTCACACAGTTTTGCCAAAGTCCTAAATGATAGAAAATTCTTATTGGTGTGATAGCAATTGCAGAAAAGTGAAAAAAAAGGGATTTTTTTTGAAATGTCCCTCTGACTTCCAATAATTTGTGGTATGCCCCTCCGACAGCCTACTTACCTTGTCGCGCCCCTATGAAACGATTGAAGTTTTGGAAAAACCCCTGGAGTTCTTTGGGCCTGAAATATGTTCAATATGCCCCTGCTGGTACCGGTTCCATATTTCCAGTATGCCCCAGTAGCTCCCCTCCCAGGGCCAGGGGAACGGCCTCGAGTGCCACCAACAGCCACAGGGGCATGCTGGAAAGTTGCACCCCTCACTGATAGGGGCATGCAGGAAACGTCAGAGGCCCCAGGGGCACTACAGGGTAAGTCGGCGGTTGGAGGGGCATGCCGCAAATAAATGGAAGTCGGAGGGGCATTTCGAACATTTCCAAATGAAAAACAAAACAAAAAAAAATCGGCTGAGGGAAGCTCAGTTGGTTAGGCACGCAAGTGGCATTCAGGACGTTGTGGGTTCAAGCCCCATGACGGTCTGCGGCGCACTTAGTGCCAACGAATTGGGATAGTCCTCTGGATACTCCTGATCCGTATTAGTGGAATCTATGACCAACATGGGTACTCCTGATCCGTATTAGTGGAATCTATGACCAACATGGGTGTGAGTGCGAGCGGGAGTGGGTTGTGTGTGGTGTGTGGGAGAGTGTTGGCCGTAGCTACTGCTGCTACTGGATGAGGGGTGGGGGACAATGAGAAAGGGAGGCGCAGCTACTGGCAGGTCCCGGTCTTTGTGTTAGCCAGACCTCCACTGGCGGCCCCAACCCTATACCCTAAACATTAGGGGCAAGGGGCAACATGAAATCTCCCCTTCACAGTGAGAGGAAACTATGCTTGCAGGGAGGGGTCCCCTCTAGCAACATGAAATCTCCCCTTCACAGTGAGAGGAAACTATGCTTGCAGGGGTCCCCTCTAGATAGCCTCAGGAGTAGGCAGTGAAAGACAAAAACAGAAGTTGAGAGAAGAATATAGAAAGAAAAAAAAGAAAAAAGAAAAAGGGTGTGCCTCCACACCGGGAAATGGGTGATTTGGGGACATGCTGTGACCGGCGCCATCACTATTTCCCCAAATCGGCCTTACTACTTTTTAAGATTATGCGGATTTGCTACCGCAGCGTGAGCATGCCCTTAGGGCATCGTCACACTAGCCCCGCAAAATCTCAAAATAGCAAAATGAGCGGCCAGATAGAGCCCTCTGGTTACAAGCACTCGATCTGGGCGTTCATTTAGATGGGCAATTTGGGAAGAGGCTCTTCTTTGAGGGCTTTCCGGAAAACCAGCAAAAGACAATCCACACCCGACATTCCCCCCGATAGTAGACGTCTGCGCGAATAGGGGCATGTATCACCTTTTCAAATTTGAATTTGGTGTGCCTATGTTCACTGCTGGTAGGTCCCACCTACCTTTCCACTTTCCCGCCCGCTCGCGACTTTTCATACCCGCCGCTTGTGCCGAGCGTTCCGGTTCCCCTGCGGACAGCCTGCACGTTGGAAATGCGCCCTGCCTACCGGTAGTTGTTGCATTGCCCCGGTGCAAAGACGGCGAAAGCTCAGTAGGGTGCCCACACTATATCCCCCGGTCCCCGCATCCCCCTTCCCCCGCCTCCCCCCCCACTTGCCCCCGGTCTGTCTCTCTCTCTGTGTCCCTGTCTGGTGTATGGGGCGCGGTAGCGCTGCGAGTACCATAGCGTCGTTACCAGAGTGTCAAGCGATCAAGCAGTCGACCGTCCGCCGAGCGATCAAGCTGCTACCTTTCATAGTCACACTATTCGACTGCACGATAGTGAATTGTACTGCGCGCAAGTATCAACGGTGGTTTTGGCGTTGGCCCGGCACTGCACGCGGTGGTGATGGCGTTTTCGCTCTAGAGTGAGTAATGGTATGAGGGCGTACTCACACTACCGCTATCTTACATGTATTGCACTGCATTTACGGCCGTACCTGCATGTATCTGGCAGTCCCACTGTGAGCCTGAGTATGCCCTGAGAGCAGCCACGAGCTCCTATACGGAAGTAAGAACGGGGCGTCCTAACACTCGAGTGTTATCTCGACGGCATTCGCACGTAACTGCTGTCAGATATATACCGGGAAGCCCGAGTGCGAGTATGCCCTGAGGAGCTGTGCATGGACAAGTAGGCAACGAAGGAGGTCCAGAAGGGAGGGCGGCTGCATCGACTGTTCAGGATTTGTGCTAAGTGTATGGCCAGCTTGGCGGCGAAAACGTGGCGGCAGTATTGGGAGCGAACACGTGTCAGGTAGCAATCGAGTCTACATGGACATGCACAGGAGTCGTGGTTGCCATTCAGCGGAGTCTTACAAGGCGGTATGCGTAGAAATCGGATTGCCGTTACCCGAATGTGGTCGTGTATGCGCGTAGATGCGATACAATCCAGGAGGTACGTGAAGTAGATCTGCTGCTTGCTGTAGATGAAACCTATGGTACTTGACTTGCCTACCAGTCTCTCTCACGGGGTGGTATTATATTAAAAGTTTCTTCTTTTTTTTTTCATCGTCAATTAGAAGCAAGCGTTCACGATCATCTACTTCTTGCTCAATTTACCAAGATATATCGTGTTACTTCCACGTCTGTTTTCTCCATCCTTCCACCCTTCCCCACCTCCCCTCCCCTCTCTCCTCACTCGCAAAACTGAAATCTTCATTATTGTCTCGTTTTAGTCTTTTGATTAGTTGGATCTTTATCCTTCCCGCGCACCCATATTTTGATCTTTGATTCTATCTGGATTCACTCTGCGGACCAACCCCTCTCCCCCCTCCCCCCCCCCCCCCCGCCCGGTCTTCTCAATAACACCCCCCTCCTCTCCCTCCCGCAATTTGGTCTTTCAGCGTGCTACTTGTGATTCTTTAAGTATGGACGCTTCGCAGCAACAGCTGGTGAGGGGAACTATCACGTTGAAGGGTTCGGCGGCTATTGTGTCGGATTTCTTCTTTCACGCTGTGAATAGTATATTGTATCAACGCGGGATCTACCCTAGCGACTCCTTCACGCAAGTCAAGAAATATGGGCTGCCAATCTTGGTGTGTGAAAACGACGGGGTGAAGAAGTACCTTAACCAGGTGTTGGAACAAGTGTCAGATTGGTTATCAACTGGCAACTTGAAGCAATTAGTGATGGTGATTGCATCTTTGTCGTCGTCAGATCCCATCGAACGGTGGGTGTTCAACATCGAGACGGACAAGGCGGTGGTAGAGTCGGGAGTGACGCGAGAGAAGCCGGAGAAGGAGATCATGGGAGAGATCCAAGCTATTATTCGTCAGATCACGGCAAGTATAACTTTCCTTCCTCTTCTAGAGGAGAGGTGCTCCTTCGACTTGCTAGCATATACCACAGCTGACGCCAAAGTGCCAGAAGCTTGGGACGCGAGCGATGAACGGCTGCTAAAAAATGCTCAAAGTGTACGCCTCCGATCTTTCAGCACCAAGGTTCATCAAGTCGACACAATGGTCGCTTACAGGCACTGCGACGACGATGAGGATGAAGATTAGCTTCTATCAGTTTCCATTCATTTCTAACTGACTGCGGAAGTACTCAGTGATTGTTATCATCCTTCCTCCTCCCTCTCCTCTTCCTGTTCCTCCTTTCTCCTCCCCCTCTCGTCTCCTCTACCCCTCCCCTCTCCTCTCCTCTCCTCTCCACTCATCTCCCCTCTCCTTCTCTCTTCCTCTGTCTTCTTTTCTTCTTCTCTTCTCCTCTCTCCTTCTCTCCCTCATCATCTTCTCTATTCCTCTTTGTAATCATCCTCCTCCCTCTCCTCTTCCTGTTCCTCCTTTCTCCTCCCCCTCTCGTCTCCTCTACTCCTCTCCTCTCCTCTCCACTCATCTCCCCTCTCCTTCTCTTCCTCTGTCTTCTTTTCTTCTTCTCTTCTCCTCTCTCCTTCTCTGCTTCTCCTTGCTTTCTCTCCCTTCACCTCATCATCTTCTCTATTCCTCTTTGTAATCATCCTCCTCCCCACCTGCTCTAACTTCTTCTCCTCCTCCTCCTCATTATCATGGGAATATAGTGGAGTGGAATTTACTCAGACGTTGCCCTTCATGAATATTTCCCCTTCAGTTTTGCGGAGCTTGATGCACCATCCCTCTTCATACCTTTTTTTTAATCTTCCTCGTCATTCCGAGGCCATAAAAAACATCTTAGGAAATTGATCGCTTTGTTGATAGAGGAGTTGTGCGTTCGAAGTTGGTGTTAGGCTTCCAAGGAGCAGATTTGCTATGCTGTCGCCTACACGTTTCGATCTTTGTTACTCACAGTAATTCATCCACTTGCGAAAGCAGTTAGATTATTCCGCATGCTTCTTCCGTTTCCTGCTCTTTAATCAAGATGGCCGTACTACTAGCTGACTATTCATTATCGGTAGCCCCGATCTGGCTGTGCCATCCTCTTCCTCCTCGTCATTCTCCCCACCACCCTCCCTCTCACCATCCACGTCCTTCTAAATGCGTTCTCTAACTATTGACATCAACAACGTTTTCTCGACCTCGACAGCCTCATCGTTCTTGTCGTTCCCATCGTCATCATCATCATCATTATGGTTATTGAAGCTTTGTGCTACTTTGCAGAGTTTGCAGGTGTTCGAACACGCGCCGACCGACCGCCGGTCCATCTCAACTTGCACACCAGCTGCCAGTGATGGGTGGAGCAGCTTATTAAGTAATTAGTCTTTCGACTGACTTGTCGTGTTTCTTAATGGCTTGATTGATCGATAGAACTCGACCAAGCGTCCTTTGAAAGCCGAACTAGTTTTGTACATATCGTGAAGTAAATGCCTCTTGCCTCCTTGCCATCTCTCTTTTTGGCGCACTTCTTTCTTTCAGCCGTTGTTTGGCGATATATGTAATCGCCTTTGTATGTTTTTTTCGTGTTTGCCATCTTCTCTGACAGAGACCGGCAGACAAGCATGGCTGCGACAGACAGTTCCGCTGGACTTCCTAATGCCTGTCTTTTTTTTCTTTTTCTTTCTTTCTTTTTCTCGTGTGTGTGTGTGTCTGTGTTTGTTCGTGTGTGTGTGTGGGCTGCGACAGACAGTTCCGCTGGACTTCCTAATGCCTGTGTCTTTTTTTTCTTTTTCTTTTTTTCTTTTTCTCGTGTGTGTGTGTGTGTGTGTGTGTGTGAGAGAGAGAGAGAGAGAGAGAGAGAGAGAGAGAGAGAGAGAGAAGAAAAAAAGTGCGAATGGGTGGGGCAACTTGATGTAGAAGATGGCTGGATACATTGTCTGTAATGGTCGCCAATGCAACTTGCCATATTCTATGTGAAGATGCCCTGCCACTTTGCACGTTTCAGGTGAGTAGTGGGTTGAAGCCCTTTGTCTTTTTATTTTTTACTTTTTACTTTTTACTTCTTACTTTTGACTTCTTACTTTTTACTTAACTTTTACTTCTTCTTGTTTACTTTTTCGTTTTTCTCAAAGGGCAACAGCCTTGAGATGTTATACTGACTGGCCCTGGGTAATTCAACAGTTGATGTTTCTAGTTCGATCAGGATTAGAACTCAGGGGTGTGCAAGTGGCCTGTGGCTCAGTGGTTAGGGCACCGGTTGTCAATGTGCATTGTGGTCTGAGGTTGCGGGTTCAAAACTTCGCCGCCGCACAGAGAAAGTGGCAGGCGTTTACATAAGGCATGGTCACTTGGGCTGATGCAGGTAAGATATTACAGACACTGCCTGTGCACCACCCAAGGGTTAGTGCACGGGTGTTGTACGTTTATCTGGGCTTTGCATGGGTTGCTTGCTTCTGTTGGCTATGGGTTGGTCTGACGATCTCCCCCGGTCTAGACATTTCACACATTAGCTGTAGGTCACGGGTCCGAGTCTGCCTTCGGACTTTGGGCGGTTCTATTCCAGATAGGCCTGCCAAAACCACATACTACACACACACAAGTTACTAGCCCTGATACTGTCTACAGGCACAACCACATAGTTCGCCATACATAACACAGGGCACATGCAGTTCGATACACAGTTACTAAGTACACAGCCTTCGGTCTTGCAAAAAAATGACACACCTACGGGCACCTGTAGACATTGCTGTAAAAAACATTGCACTCTTAGGCCTGGGGAGGTCTAGGTATAGGGGCTTCTCTTGGATCGACTGATGATGATGATGATAGGCTTTCTGACGATGGTACCCCACCGTAAATCAGCTTGACTGTGTGTGGGCGAGTTACTGGTCGGTCTGAGGGTGGTCTAGTCATAGGGTGTGTGGGTGAGTAGAGGATGTCAGTCACTGGTTGGTCTGGTTCAACGAAGCGCTTAGACTCTAGTGGTAGAGCGCAGGGATATAAGTCGCACCGGCTAGTATGAGTTCCACCTAGCCTTGGGGCAAGCGAGGGGAAGGATGGTAGGACGTGTCCGTGGGTGCCAGCTTGCCTCAGCCTGGGGTCTGTGCCTGCTTATCAGGCAGACCCTCTCATTACACTTAGGGGCTAGAGGAAGATTGATTGAGCCTGGCATCCGAAGTTCCCATATGACAAGGCTCGTTCGACTCCGCTTCTACCAGGGTCGGCTCATGGCCCTGGTGTCTGTCACTGCTGTCCGGTCCAAGTGGTCCTGAGTGCGGGTCACACTGAGGTAGGATAGTAGGGACAGGGGGTGTGCTAGGAGTACTGACACAAGGATGGGATGGGCGGTAGCCTCGTCTTCTCAGGGCAACCATGGCCTCCCAGTAATCACCGTGTGCCCAGTAACTGGCCTCTAGAAAAAAAGAAAAAAGAACGCAAACTCAGGTCTGTATTTCAACAGATTATGGGTGTTCCAACTCAGCCAGCCCGTTGGTCGATGTCCTTGTCCACGCAGAGCTCTGTTAAGCCAGGTCGTTGCTTTGCTTCAGGGCATTTGTCGTTCTCTGTCACTAGGTTTGCCCTCTCTCTCTCTCTCTCTCTCTCTCTCTCTCTCTCTCTCTCTCTCTCTCTCTCTCTCTCTCTCCCCCCCCCCTTGTGAGCACCTGCTGGTTCACACCGTGGCACAGGTGGGCTTGGTGTACCAGGCATTGATGGCCCCAGAGGGAGGAGGCACAAACTTTTGAGTATCTCGACTTTGGTGACTTGTCACTCATTGCATTCAACAAAAGTTTAAACCACCACTCTACCTGACGTTGAAAATTTGGGGGACCGGTAGCACAGGTTCATGAGGGCTACCAGTTGCACAGTGTGGAAAATTGGCAGAGTGGCCAAAATGGAAAATGCAACGAATTACCGACACGACTTATTCGTGGTGAAAACTTTTTTTTATTAAATTTTGCAAATATTTTTCTTGGAAAGATCATGATCAAATCTATGGATCCATTTTCAGATTGTTTTACGTATTTTTCTGAGCATGAAAAATCACCGAATTTGAGGTGCTCTTCCTGTTGGTCCACAAGTCGTATTGTAGCAAAAATGGTAAATGAGACGAATTGGAACGGAATACGAATTTCAAATTTGAGAAAAGATGAGATTGAAAATAAGATTTAATAAGATTTGAAAAAACAAATAGGGAACCAAGCTAGGGAATCGATTCTGATGTCCAAGAGGACTTACGACCCTGATTTTCAGACCCCCAAGGTTCGGAATCGCTCAGACAGTAAATCAAGAAATTACTGAACAGAAAAAGTCGCCACTAAACAGAAAAAACATCTCGTCAATCATTGTGTGTGAGAGGGCAAAGACAATTGGCCTGTATTGAAAAGTTATGAGAAGCTCCTTTCAAAATTGTACTAAATTCTATTAGGGGAAGGTTAGCATTGTCTCTATTAGAAAGTTCTGCGTAATAGCTGTGATCTAATAGGAATTAAGTACGATTTTGAAAGGAGTTTCTTATAACTGTCTTCGTCCTCTCACACACAATTGACTGTCGATATATTTCTTTTGTTTAGCGTCGATTTGTTTTTCTGTTTAGTAATTTCTTGATTTACTGTCGTAAGTGATCGTGTTGATTTTTTGATATCCTCTAATAGGATTTAGTACGATTTTGAAAGGAGCTGCTCATAACTTTTCAATACGGGCCAAATGTCTTCGCCCTCTCACACACAATGATTGACGAGATGTTTTTCTGTTTAGCAGCGACTTTTTTTGTTCAGTAAGTAATTTCTTGATTTACTGTCTGAGCGATTCCGAACCTTGGGGTTTTGGAAATCAGAGTCGTAAGTCCTCTTGGACATCAAAATCGATTTCCTAGTTTGGTTCCCTATTTGGTTTTTCAAATCTTATTAAATCTTATTTTCAATCTCGTCTTTTCTCAAATTTGAAATTCGTATTCTGATTTGGTGTGTGGCATTTCCAAATTGTTTTCTCTCGAGTATGATCTGGTCTTGCAAACAAAAAGGGGAAGGTTGAAGTAGAGGTAAGAAGGAAGTGGGGGGTTCACCCAGAGGAGGAATCGCCGGTTCAGGGTAGTAAGTAACTAGAAGGGGTGGGAGGACATTTGCCGGTGCTAGAGCATTTGCTCTGTGACCAGGGGAGCTTGAGGCCATTGAAGTTATGCTGAGGGAGGAAGGCGTAACCATCTTGCCTGATGTAGCTGTTGCCGGGGCGGTGACCTTGTAACCTTTTGAGGGGCCATACAGTTAAGAGAGATGTCGAGGGGGGAAGGCACTCTCTGTCCGTCAGAAACAGTTAGGTCGGTACTGGGGCAGTTTGTGTTGCCTTGTAACCCTAGCAAGGGGTAGTCGAGACCTGATGATTTCTGGTATGAGGATTGAAAGCCTGGTCGGTGTGTCCTTCATCTGTGGTAAGGGTAGGAGATGGATAGTTAGTGGTTCTAGTTCTGGTCCTTCTTCCTTTTTGCTTTTTCAAATGGGAAGGTGAAAGTTGGAAGTATGGTTTGGAAGGAATTTTGGGTGGGCTCATGCAGTAGAGGAAGGGTGGCTCAGGGGTGGAAGTCTACTAGAAGGGCGGGGTGGGACGACATTGGCCGGTGCTGGAGCAGTGGCTCTGTGACCAAGAGGAGTCTGAGGCAATTGGAGTTATGCCGAGGGTGGAAGACATAACTACCTCGTTCACTGGGGCGGTGACCCTGTAACCGGTAGGGGGTTATGCCGCCAAGGAAGTTGTCGAGGGAGGAAGACACTTCCAGTCCGTCAGAAAAAAGCTAGTTTGGTGCTGGGGCAGTTTGTGTTGCCTTGTAACCCTAGCAAGGGGGGTGTGAGAACTGGCGACTTCTGGTACAAGGACTGAAAGCCTGAGCGGCAGTTTCTCGCCTGTAGTGAGGGTTTGAGTTGGATTGGCGGTGGTTTCATTTTTGATCTTTGTCTCTCTGTTTCATAATTACCATCAAATGGTAGGTGGAGGTTCTCCTGAGAATGTCTTAGGATTCTGGGTACTTCTTGCAACTCATTATAAGCTTCTTTGTTGCTGTTAGATTCATGGACCTGCGGTTTTTCGATGCCAGAATGACGCTGGCCGGAGCTGGGGGATTGCCTTGTAACCTGTCGATGGCAGGAGCGTGAGGCCTGGTAGAGAGATCTGGGGATGCCTTGGGCCGGGCATTCGAAGGGAAAACCAAGGGTTGCTGTTGGGACAATGCTGGCCGGAGCTGGGGTGAGTTATGTTGCCCTGTAACCTAGCAGGGTGGGGGCATGAGGTCTGGGAGAGCCCGACAGGGAATTAGACAGTGTTAGAGAATTTTAGAGTGTTTTGTGGGGGTTTCCAGGGATTCTGAGCATTCAAAGGACTTTTTTTCTAATTTTTCTTGGATTTTTTCTGAATTTTCTTCATAAGTTCGCAGATTGCTCTTAGCCGAAGCCAGGTAATGGCCCTGGCATTTTAAATCATTTGTATAAATTTTACATGGGATGCTGGCCCCGGT